GAGATACAACCATCCTTCCCTGTCTTGAGCAGGAAACAGAGTGTGACAGGCTCTCAGTGCACTGGGTAGGCAATGAGCTGGGGAGGAAAGAGATGGGAGTGATCCCTGTGGGAAACTGCCAGTACACAATGCATTGGGCACTTTTCATACATTTTGTTGAAATTAGTATCAGTAGCCAAATTAATACAGGCTCTTGAGGCTTCCCAGACAGAGTTCCTGTATCCTCAACATCTCTTGCTCTCAACATTGTAGCATGACAGAGTTATTTTCATTCACTTTTCTGCTGTCAAATACTTGCAAACATGGTAATGCCAAAGAGGCAGACATCAGATGTGCAGCTCAATTTCACTTAAGCAAAAAGGACAGAAAAGGGGACTGCAGAAAATGTCTGTGACTGATCAGTTCAACAGAGTTAACTGAATTCAGATTAGTAGAATTCAAATGAATTAATAAGGAAGAAATACAAATACAGGTGTACAATGAAAAGAGTCAACCTTATGAATATGGCTATTTCATGGTTGGCTGAACAGGTGGAACAGGTATATTCTGCACACTCTGATTTTTCCTGCATCTGAGACTCCGGATATCAACACTGAATTAACTGTCCATGATTCCTCAGAGTTACCTGGGGCACGGCGGGTCTTGATCTTCTAGCTCCTCTTGATCCTTTTCAATTTCTGCAAATAAATTCAGACAGAGACAGACACATTAAGCGGGTTCTCCTATACACACAAACAGCCCACTGTACAGTCCTAACATAGGAACATCAGTTTCCTCAGTGGGAGAACAAGACAATGTGAGAGAAACATTCCAGGAGGCCTGAGGTCCTGTCAAGAGAGAGATGCCTTGGTTTTCTTCCCTGAGCCTAGGAATGAAATCTCCTTGTTGTTATAGATCGTTATCACAACATCAACAGTCCTGATTTTGTGCAAATAGCTATGCAAATTTTTCACACCAATTCAAGGCAAACACTTCAATGGCTTTCTAGAAGGAAAACTGCACTATTCAGCCTTCAGTCATCAAATACCCACATTGTTCAAGGTTGCAAGGATTTTAGACACTGAAATTAGAATGAAGGAGAGAACGTACAGACCCTCGAATCAAAATGAAACTTTGGTACTACAAAGAGACATTGGTTGTTTGTGACATCTAGGAGTGACAAGGCCCAGTCTTGTTTCTAGACACATAACAAAAGCAAATGTACTGCTCACCTAAAACAGGCTAACATCAGAGACACAGATAATGAGGCTAGGTTCTTTGAAACCTGGGTAATATCTTTAAGGAAAAGTAGACAAAGATGCCACAGGCCTTGGGCAGGCATAGAATCTCAAAGGACATGGTTGTAGAAAGGAACTTGTAAGGAACTCAATAGCTGGCAAGACAAATCTTATTCAGATTAAGAGGCCTGACCGACACCTGTTGGGCACGTGCTGCGTAGGTTGGTTTGAATTTTTCAATGTCGTGGCAGTGGCCCAGGGTGACACAGGCCTGGTCTGAGATGAGAAAGAGAGCAAAGCTCACTGACCCAGCCCATGTCTGTGCTTCCAATTTGATTTTCGATTCTTATGCAAATCATCCTGTGTCTGTGAGTCATGCCCACCCCAGTGACACATCTCTGTCCAGCCAGGGGTGCAAGAATTACAGAGTCTACCTGGGACACCAGTTGGAGATTTATTGTGGTCACAATGGAGTACTCACTGTCTACAAGAGCCAAGCTGACTTGCTTTTCTTCAAAACAGTACGAAGTGCTCCCATAAGGGCGGTAGGAGTGAGGTAGGTCAGGAAGGATGGAAGGAGTCAAGCAACATCCATCCAGTGACTCCTGGGGGACTTCATGCTTGTCC